CCCCAAAACCCCAAAACCCCAAAACCCCGTCTATTTGCATTCATCAATTTTTAAGGAAATTAATTTTACAGATCTTAATGAAGATATTCCTTCATATCAAAGTTTGTTATTTTATCTTAATAGCTGCTCCACTCTCTTTCTCTCTATTTCCTCTCTCTTGAGTCGCTCCTCTCTTAGTTATTCTAGCTTTAATTTATCTTATCTCTTTTTTTCCTTCTTTAATTTCTTTTTTTCTTTTTTATCACGCTTTTTATCAGTCTTTTTCTTATCTTTCTTCTTCGACTTTTTCTGTGAAGAACTGGACGACGATATCGAATCACATTCTTGATCTTTATCTTATATTTAAGCATTTGCACCATCAAACTTTTTATTTATATCAAGCTCAAGCACTTAGCAGTAATCCCCTTAGTTAGATTTAAATTACTTTATTTGCTCTTTTATCATAAATTATTCAAATGACTTATCATATTTAGGTTGATTCGCTGCTATATCTGCTGCATTTGATTGATCATCTGTCTGGATTTATTGTTTCACATACCAAGGTCTATGTCTATCTTTAAATAAATCACCTAGATTGCCTGATCTCTTTAAATAGTCCTCTTTACCTTGGACTTCTCCACTTTTCTCTATTTACTTTTATCTCAGCATTATATCTATTTGCTCTTGCTTAAACAAATTAACATGCTAGCTATCATCTATCTTACCCATTAATTCTGACTCAATCATTTTCTTATCTCCCTTCTCCTTAGCTCTGAGTTGCTTTCTAGCCCTTTAATATATTTCATTATCTGTCAATTCTTCTTTTTATTTCTAAGAATGAGCAACTTTCTGCTCTTCATTACCTTGATTAGAGACTCTTCCATCATTATTAGTGTTTTAAGTTTTTAAAACTTTTACTTATTCATTTAGATTGCTAATTGATTGATTTCTATAGTGTTCTTCTCTTGCCTAATGAAGTAATTTTTCATCGTCTTCAACTTTTTATCTGTTATCTTGTCTATAAACATTCCACCTTTTCTAAGGCAAAATATTTAGACCACCATGACCTCCCATATTAACTTTGGAAATAACTATTATAAATTTATATTTAATTGAGTTATTAAATTAAATCAACTTTCAATTAGCAACACCCAAGAGCAAGCATGAAAATCAAATTTCAAAATTTCCTCCCATCATTGAATGCTTGAACTTTTTGCACAACTTAATTGCACTTTATCTTTAATGTTCCTTGAAGTCTTTCACACACTCTTCATTGAATTCCTATATTGACTTGAAGTTTACTTGACACTTCTCTTGTCTTCTATGATTCTCGAAAGTCTTATCAATCTAAGACATATTTGCTATACACTATCTCGTGATGAGATTGCTTGATTTGAACTTTATGAAATTAGGATCTTCACTCAATTCAATGTGGTTATTTTGTTGTTCATCCAAGCTTCTTTCATCATACCAGCATTCTTACTTGTAAGTTGCAAAATCTTAAATGTTTTCATAGTCTTGTAACGTCTTATCTTTAATGTTATGTATCTCTATTTTTTCTCTCGATGAGTTTTACTCTAGTTTTAGACAATTTTTAATAAGACTTCTTACTTTGAATTTGACCCCATTCCCTATTTTCCCTAATCTATGATTATTATTAGCTGATGGTTGATTTAATAGAAATTTCTTTTAAGTTGCCTTTTACGATTTAATAGGGGATTCTTAGAGACTATCCATTTCTTGTTACTTTTATGAAGGACTAAAATATTAAGTGAACTGTATACTTCTGCGTACTTCAGGGTTAATTTTTGGAAGCTTAAAATCATCATCTTTGACATCAATTTTAATTAATGATCTTGCAGAGTGATTAGAGTTGTAATTTCCCTCGTCGTTAACTTCCTCGATAGGACTTCTAATGTCATCGAAGTAATTAGTGAGCATAGAAGAATTAGCTTCATCCCTAAGCATATCCATTTTATTAAGATTATTAAAATCTTTCAATGGTTTATCTTGCACACTCATGCGTACTTTAGTAAGTTTTCTCAATAATACTGCCTATTTTTCTTGTTCTTTATCTTGTCTATTTGTCAATATGATTTTGCCTTTATATTTGTGAGTAAAATCTATCTTAGCCTTGAATGGCCTCCCATCCAAATTGCTTATTTACTAGTTTACATGCATAGGATCAATATTCAGCAGACGCACAGACTTTGAATTAAAGTCACCTTGCTACAGTGTTTTCTTATTAACTTTCTTTTTTTTATCCGGCTTATCCTTGAAGAAATATAACTCTGGATGACTCAATTTATATTGATAGATTAGTTGAGAGATAGATCTAATTTTGTCGACATTGAGCTTTTCTTTGTCATACTTTTTTTACTAGGCAATCTCTTAATTTGAATTAGATTGATATTATTTTATTTCCATTATATATTTAATTATTAAATAAAAATGCATTTGACTTATCTACCCCATATTATTATCACAGGGGTTTTGGGGTTTTGGGG